ACACACACAGCCTCTTTCCAATATGCGTTTTTGCAATTTACATATATGCAAAAACGCATAAAAACTGCGGAGAACTATGCAAAAAACGCATCTTCGTACGGGCAGCCCGTTATTGCAATTTGCATGTAAGCAAAAACGAACAAAATCCAGTTTTCCGAACTGCTTAGATTATCCAGCAATAATGCAGTCAAAGGTTACCAAGCAATAAAAATTCCCTCAAATGAAATACAACGCTGGATTCAGTGGTAACGAGGTTGCTTTTTATGCATTTTGTACCGTACAACAGCTGCACAAAACGCATATTGCAGCGGGGTTGTTTGAGTATGTGTTTGTGTGTATGTTTTTGTGTGTGTCCAACGCGTTTTGTCTGCAACTTTCAAACTGAGAACCATAAAAGCTGGGAAGCTGAAAATTTAGGAGAATGTCCCCCGCTCATTTGTGAATCCGCAAACTTAATTTCAGCCTTTCGCTATCCTGGTCAGCACGTACGACCTCGTGAAAGCTTTTGGCAGGGAAAATTATTATCTTGGGAACCACGAAAGCTAAGAAATTGAACTTAAAAGTGCTGTTCTCTACCCAAATGCAACTCCGCAAAATTCAAATTCAGCATTCACGTATGCCCCGGTCTCAACATCCCTGTGAAAGTTTAGGTGGGAAAGATTATGATCTTAGGAAGCAGGAGAGCTATGAGAATGAAAATTTCAAAATACTTTTTGTCTAGGCAGGGGCCTCACAAACCCAAACTTGCTTCCTAGATATGCTGAAGTCTCACGTATGATCACTGAAAGTTTTAACAGGCGCGAAGGTCCTTGAAAGCCGAAAAATTAGGATGTTGATATTTTGGAAGGATGTTCACTGCCCAAAGTTTCAAAATTCAGTTTTCATTTAGCGGTACGAACTGCGTTAAAAATAGTTGACCTTTTCGGCTGTGCAAAAACAGTTGAAATGTTGTTTGGTTCCTAAGCTGCGAATTTTCGAAAAAAAAAGGATTTCACAGTTTAAGAACCAGACAACACTTCAACTATTTTTGCACAAACCAAGGCGTAGGGCAATGAAAATCCTTAGCAGGCAAACATTCACTGGACGTTCGTGCGGAAAACGCATGGTGCGCGTCGCCACTTTTTTTTTAGCAGTATGCCAACCACCACATTGCCGGCGCGATCATACGTTTTTGCACTGAACTTGAAGCAGTTAAGGCATTAACTGTACGAATGATTGTTGCTTCACATTTGCTAATTACCGCAAATTTTGTGTGAGGGAAAATGAATAATTTCTGCTGTCCCGGCCACTTGTTGGAAATGCCCTAGCTGTTCTGGCTTCCCACCCAAAACTTTACGTTTCTGCGCGTGGCATTTAGGGGTGGGGGAATGCTTGTGTCACAATCCTGGAATAGCGTTTGGCTAGGGCCCCACTAGCAAAATTTCAGCATCGAAGCTAGTCTGACTGCCGAGTTGAAATACCCAGACAGACAGAAAGTCAGACACACACATGGATCATCAAAATGCGCATTTTTTATCTGCACAAAATATGCAAAGAAGCACAAAATCCAGTCTAATTTCTAACAGATCAGTTAACTGCTGACGATTGATGGAGAAAAAATATAAGTTGTTGTGAAGCAAATTTCCCAAGATGAAAATTTCACCGCTCAGCCGAAACTGAAAGATTGCCTGATGTAGAGCAATATCTGTGAGCCAGATGTTGTCGCTGCCATCCACAGCCAGTCCGTGAGGCATATAAAATGAGCCCTTGCCAAATTCGTCAACGACTTTACCGGAGCGCGGGTCGATCACATAAACTGTCGCATTCTTGATCGGGCCAGCACTTGCATTGAAACGATTGCGCTCATCGAATGACCTATGAATATTTTCTTCATTACTGCGCATATCTATTTGGTGAGTGCTAATACTGGGCTATGAACAGCCAGAAGCCATCGACGTAAAGCGCGCTGTTTGGAGAAAAATAAGGAATTATACCTCTCACCTCAAAATGTACAGGAATATTTTTTCACCAAAAAAATTTTGGCCGCATTCGAATTTTTTATTTTGAATAATGTTTCGGAATTCCAATTTTTCGCATATTAAAGGGTTTGCTCAACCAACTTTGGGAGCAGTTCATAACAATTTGCCGATTTGTACGGTTTAGACAGAAAAAGCACTAACCACTGATCCCAAACGCGGCCAGCTCGATGGAATGCCAGGAGTTGCCCTTGCGAGTTGATTCCGAGTCCAGTCACTTGTCCAACTGGTTTTGACACAGGAAGAATATAAGCCTGCAAAACTGATATCTCTAAAGGGTTATCACTTATAAGTACAAGAAATACCAAGAAACTTTGCTCATTTCAGCTACTGCTGAGAAAGGAGCATTAACAAGTGGCGTTGCTCTCGTATGTAAGGAACCGTTGGACTTCCAGTAGGATAACTAGTTAGTTTGCAATTTGTTCATTCGTTTTAGTGATAAACTGGTACTGGCTTATTAGTAATGGCTCTAGGGAGTCGAAGATGCCATTAGCTTTCTTATAAGCATTCGAAAATAGAGAGCCATTAGCCGCCTTGATAACGGATGATTGCTATTGACGCATTCTGCGAATCTACTTCTGAAAAGAACTGGAAAGTGGCAGAAGAGAAGGGCTTGACTTCGATTTTGACAAGAAGACTACTTGCCCTCTAAAAAGAACAAAAGAAAATTCTTTTTGAACACAGATTACTCAGTGTTTTTCAGGAAGTTTATTCATACGGTGAACTGATACTTTGTCCCATTTGCTTCTTCAGTTTTTAACTCCTACACCAGTACGTTCCTTTTCAACAAGCTTAATAGCATTCTGAACAAGATTTTAAGAAGGCAACGCTTTTTAACAGGCACATGCATCTAAACAATTAATTTTTTAAGTTTTTCAAGAAAGGAAGCACGCTGGCAATTTTCAAAGCTCACTGCAGCAAAAACACTTTGACGAGTTCATTTTCACTCTTTACAAAAGGTGGGCATGCGCGGAAGTAGCTGGATCAATAGCACATTGGTAACAACTGCATACTGCCATGGTTGTCGATGGTATAATCTTCCAGGAGTTCATTAGTAAATGTAATGGGTGTCTTGAGATGCCTTGTGCCTTGGCATAGTTAAGTGGGGTCTGCAAGATACTGCTATAGATATTTCTTTATATGCGTTGATGTTAGACACAATTTACAAAAAAACAAAAATACGGATTGAACATTCTCACGCCGTTAGCAGTTATCATGCCGTGCAAGTAGACAAATATCTCATGAAAATATTTCATGAATTGCATGATTCCATAAGAGGGGAGTCAAAGTTGCAGTCGAGGTAAAAGTGTGAAGTAGATTTGTGTGTTTGTGTGTGTTGAGTAGATGTGCATGTGAAGAGTAGGTATGGGGTGAGCAGAGGCTGATCGGAAGCTGGTGCCGAATCCAAATGAGGGAATAAGCCACTTATAAAGATGAGACAAGGGGAATTCCTAGACTGCTGATTCCGCCAGATCGTAAGATAGTAACAACAGATGTGCTCTCAGGCACAGGAATTTTTAGCCCCCTGCCGTCCAAGCGCCCTAAACAAACATTCTTGTTTTAAAATAAGCTAAGAAAAAAAGATTAATGGAGAAATTGAAATGAAAGGGGGCGTAAAAAAGAAAATAAAAAATAAATCATCCCTTTATTTCAAATGCAGCTTGACCCTAGAACAATTGCATTTTATAACATAAAGCTTTTGATTAAAAATACAGATAATAAATATGACAACAAAGGCACCATAAATGTCACTAATGGAAAATGTGAATTTCGAGATATTGCTAGCAATTTCAGCCGAGAGCATGTCCATGGACTTCAGTGGCAAAATGGACTGACTTGATCTGAGCAAAGTTTTTGGCGTAAAAAGTTATGAGTTTATAAATTTCCTACTTTATATACAGCATTTTCTTTTTAAACAAGAAGCAACGACTTGCTTTCCTATTCTTTGTTTTTATCCGCATAGCAGCATGGAACAAACACAAAGCTTACAATCTATTCTGACTGCGGAATTATGAAACTATCAGTGTCAAGTCCCACATGTTCTCAGACTAGACGTGAGAGGTGAATTTAAATCCTTGAGTTGCAATGAACAGGGTTTGTTTTCGTAAAATTATAATTTTCCGGCTTGATTAGTTCCGGAAGTTATGTAACTACCGAGCGCGCATGAATGTTTATTTTATGTCGAGGGTTTCATCCATAGCGATGTACTAAATTGTTGTAGATTTGGAAGACAAAATGTGCTCGAAAACACAAGCACATAAACATACATCCAATTTTTCCTACAAAGCATGCGTTTTTGCGCTGCATAAGTACAAAAAACATAAAAATCTTAATGACATAAAATTAGTGGATCAAATGAAGTTAACTAATTAATGTGCAGGAATACTAACTGGCTCGAAAATAATAAAATTTAATTCGCGCTTTCAAAAAAAAAGGTCTTATCTGAATCGATATTTTTTATCCAACTACGTTAATGGTATTAAGGTTTCAAAAAATGCGCTTTTCCAAAGAACTACGATACGACATAATTCTGGCTTAAGAAAGATAAATCATCTCATTTTCCTTTTGAGATATTAAGTACTACAAAACTTTAACAAGCAATCGTAAGTTTCAGCCAGTTGACTTCTGTACGCTTTTTGAAACAACTGACACTACCGTTTTGATATGCATCACTGTGTGGAGCATAAATGCAAAGTAGTGGAGGTAGACATCGATACTGTGTGAAAAAGAAAATAAAAATTTTATAGTTTAACAGAGTTCACCTGGTTGGCCGACTCAACTCCCGGCTCGTTGTTCTCGTACGGGGACGCAAGAACCTCATCGTAGTTCTGCTCATTATCACCGATATCGTTATAGTCAAAAAATGAGCCCTGAACTGCGCACACCATCGACAGTAACATCATCAAGAAAACATGTCTACAGGGCAGTTTCCCTGCCATGATTCTTGATGACAGAGCGAGGCCCAGAGCCAGACGAGAAGCAAATGCCCGAGGCCTAGTTGCAAGCATGTCGGCCTAGGCCTTTCTTTCAGGAAAGACAGGACGTTGTGAGCCAGAAAATCCAAAGAGCTGCCTGTGGGCAAAATCGATGGGCTGCAGCCCAGCTGCTTTGACGTCATTCATCCCCCAACACACATCCAGAATTGCGCAAGTCACAATAGAGGAGTTATTAAAAAATAAACAGAGGCATCCACCAAGCTAGCCGGCGCGGTCATGCTTTTTATGCAGTTCTGCTCGGCGAGCGGTTGTTGTTAAGAATATTCGCCGCTTTGCAATGTGGTTCGCGCAAAAAATACGGGATTCAGTGTACTCGTAGATGAAAATCAAGCTTTTATGAAAGTTAGCCTACAGCTATAAAATTAAATCAAATTAAATTAAACAAAACAGAATAAAATATAATATAAATAAAATAAAAATCAAGTGCCAAGTTCGTGCACAGCCAAAAATAAAATAAGAAATAATAAAATAAAAAATAAAAAAGAATGAAATGAAGTAAAATAAAATAAAATATGCTGCCACGTACCATGTTCGTATATAGTCAAAAATCTGTAATTTGAATTTGTTGATTCGTACACGAACAGAAAGCATCTTTCAACAATTTTAGCTTCCTGCTTTATTTAGTTTCCGAACTAAAAATTTCGCGTCTGAAATTTTACCCGCCTGCATCAGAAAAATAAGTGACTTAAAGCTGGTTTTGAATTTCCAGGACTGTACATTAAGGGAAGCATCATGGTAAATTTTCAACTTTCTATCTTGCTGGTCCCCCCAAACGGAAAATTTTGCGCCAAAAATCATACGTATTCATAAACTAGGCTTAGACGTAAGTAAGGGCTGAATTTAAATTTTTGTAATCGTAATTTGGAATATTACCTCAAAATTCCATCTTCATAACTTTTAATGGTTCCCGAACTGAAAAGTGCGGACAAAATGCGCTTGGAAACACATACACGCACACAAACGCACATACACACACACACAAACGCACACACACAAACGCACACACACACACACACACATACAAACACACACAGATAGGGGCGTGACAATATACGTTTTGTGCTCCTATGCTTATGTCGATGATTGGATTCTGTTGCTGGAAAATCTACCTCTACGCATTACTAAAAGTCTAAGTGATCTTAGTGATCACTCATCACCCAGATTTAGTGATCACGCTCAAAAGTAGTAAAGATTACCAGCAACAGAGGCTCTGCAGTAGTTGACTAAACAGTCTTTGTAGTAATTGTAAAGAGTAATAACGTCGAGGACTTCGCAGGGGTAGTTGTGATCATTCTGATCCTAAAGGAGAGCATTAGCATCGAAAGTTCGCAGTGGTAATGTTAACAGTCGTGATAGCAGTAGTAGCAGGAGCTCAGTACTGGTAGTCTCTAAGGCAATTTTTTGATACTGATGGAGAATGTATTAACATACGAGGGCTCCACGCTATTAGTTTTAGCGATCTTGATAATTCTGGTAAGAGGCATGAAACCGTTTCTATAATTTTTTATTTCAGGTTCAGAAATTTACAGTATGCACGGAACAAGTGAGCCAGGTACAAGAATTAGCTGACGATCTGTTTGTGCCTGTTGCTATACTTGAAGCGGGTCTTTTTTCAAAGGAGTGTCAAATTTGTTCGAGAGCCAAAAAAATCTTTGACTCAGATTTCTTATTTTAGTTCCTATGCTGTGTGGCATAATCCCTGATACTATTCTTCGCTTTATGCTAATTAGTTTTCCTCTCGATCTTCGGCTGAAGACAGACGTGAGTTTGGAGAAATTAATCGTAATATATATTAAAAAGAACTATATATATGATATCAAGAAATGCATATATAAAATATAAAGAATGTATATACATATAAAATATATAAAA